TGACTCATCTCAGGCACCACATGCACTCTTGCCTCGGTGCATCTCTGATCTCCCCGGGTGTGTTGCCACAGGCTAACTTTCCAGTCCTTTCTCCGGGTAGTGGGTTCCCACTATGTGTTTTACTACACTTGAAAGACTGAGTCTTCCAGGCAACTGCTTTCAGTTATGGATAAATGGCTATGAAATGGTAGTGTAATCTTGCAAAAGGCAGGTCATATTGGAAAGGACAGAAACACAATGTAGCTTGAGATGTGCTAAAATTTGACCAGTTAGCATGTGTAACATATGCATGCATGTGACTTCTTAGCATGTGTAACGTACATATGTATATGACTTCTTAGCATGTGTGACACATGTATTCATGTGACCTCTTAGTATGTGTGACATACATACGCATATGACCTCTTAGCAGGTGTGATGCACATATGCATGTGACTTCTTAGCAGGTGTGACACACGTATGCATATATCATGTAACATAAGTTCTTATCAGAATGAAACGTTGGCTCACCAAAAGTCAGAGTTATGAAAGAGCCACAGCCTAGGAGAAAGATATTTTAAAAAAATCTGTTGAAGAATTTGTAACCAGTATATATAAAGAATTTCTTCTGGGTCTGGGGAGGTGGCTCATTGGCTAAAGTGCTTGTTGTAAACTGTGAGGACTTGAGTTTGCACCCCTAGCACCCATGGAAAAACCGGTCTCAGCAGGGATCTGCAGCCGAAGGGCTAGGCGACAAAGAGGAGCGCATCCACTCAGTCTAGACAAACTGGTGAGCTATGTCTTAAAACGTAAGATGGGGAGTCAGTGACAGAGAAAGGCACATGACATCTACCAGTGGCCTCTACACGCACAAGCACAAGTATGTCCACCCACACACATGCACACATGCTTATAACACACACACACACACACACACACACACACACACACCGAAATTTCTTTAATTCAACATCTTTGAAAAATTAACTCAATTTTAAAAAATGAACAGAAGATTTAGCCAAATAGAAATGACTGGAATAGCCAAAATTCAAATGAAAAAGCTTTTTATTGTTCATGGGAAAACGTGACTCTGAACTATAGTCTATGTACCGTATCCACTAGGGAAGCTGAAGCTGAATTAAAGACAAAATCCAGCACTGCACTGGAAATAACAGTTTCACGCCCCTTTAGAACATAAAATGAGGCAACTTTGGTAAAGTATGTGGAAGTAACAACAACAACAACAAAAAAACAGTTGTTTTTCACAGTGCTGGCGATCAAACCCAGGACCCTGCACAGGCTCAACTCGGGCTCTGTTACTGAGTTACAGCTTCATTTTGGGGGTAAAGAGGACAAAACGAAACAAAACAGAAACACTAAACACATTTTGTTCTTAAATTTGTTAGGCGAATTTTTTAGAATTCAGATTCGGAAAGGAAGAATGATCACATGATTTTACGCATGAAAAGCATCCCTTGGGACTGTATGGGGTTAACAAGATGGCTCAGCAGATACGGTGACGTTTGATCCCTGGAACCCACGGTCAGAAAGGACTGGCCGAAGCTGCCCTCTGGCCTCCACACACCATGGCACTCTGGTAATAAATGAATACTTTTTAAAAGGATTGTATGAGCTCACAAATGAGCTCAGCAAGGTCATGGTCGTCTGAATGCCTGTGACCATCTTAAAAACTAAGAATCAACTTGGTGACTGTGACTCACCTTGAAATTTCCAAACCCTTGCCAAAAGACAGATACATAAATTAATTTATAGTTGACTTTTTTAAAAAAAAAAAGGTGTTTTTTTTAAAGTGTGTGTTTGAGTGTGTCTATGCACACAGGCATACAGAACCAGACACATTAGAAGGCCCTACAACTGGAGTTACAGTACCGGTGAGCTGCCCACCATATGCTAGGAACCGAACTCGGGTCCACCGCAAGCACAATGCATGTTAACCGATCAGCCAGCTCCCAGCCTTCTGGTTGTCCATTTTTTTTGTTAAAAGTGTCAAGACAATGCAGCAGAGAGAGTAGTTTGAACTAGCACTGCTGGGGCAACAGGGCAGCCTATCAGAAAGAATGGAACCCATTTCCCATCTCATATCGCAAAGTTAATTCACAATGGACTGCACAGCTCAAGGGAAAGGGCGAGGCCACAGAATACTGCAAAGAAGGCAGAACAAACCTCCAGGACTTCAGGTCAGGCCAGGGTGTCCCTGAAATCCCCCGGTACGACATCTAGAGACGCCAAATGATGAGAATGAATTTCAGAAGCACACTTACAATATACTTTTCAAATAAGCCTTAAGGACACTTGAGGAAATGGTGGATATTAGAAATGGACACATAAATATGAAGGGAAAATATGTAAATATGAGTTACAGTATTCCATGGGAAAGACAGGTATAAAGAACTAAATACAGGCTTAAACAGTGTCTGCAGGGCTGCTCCTGGGGAGGGGGATGGCTCTCTGAAACAAACAGGGCATAATGTTAAAATTTGATGGAAGCAAGTATAATAGTTTATGGTTTGGCAAATTACATTCTTATCATGAGCCTGCATTGCCAACACAGCACAGGGTAGAGTGGAGGTGAATGAGACTGATGTGAGCCTGAATGAGTCCCCCAGGAAGTGTTGTGGAAACGGCTTTGAGACTGAACCCACACGATCAGCCCCCCTTATACATCACTGCTTTGGTTCAAAACTGGAGTTCCAACTGCGTCCCCTTAAGACCGATTACAAGAATTTTCCATTCGCTTGTATTCTATGCAAATAGTTGTGGCTTGTGTTTTTTTTCCTCCCTCTCTTTGCTCCTAAATTTGTTTTCACCAAATTTTCCCAAGCTAAGCCTCTTCCTTTTGTTGTTTTCTTTTCCCTAAATCTGTTATTCCTTTCAAACGACTATAAAACATTATTTTTCCTTTGCTCGACACTCAAGCAGCACGTGTCTTTAGTTCAGTTCTCTCTCATCTGTAGCCTGGGTGGCGTGCCTGCTGCGTCTTCCAGGGGCCGTGTCCAGGGGCTGGCAAGCTACAGCTGATGAGGAAGAGGCACACTTGCTCAGGCCCCATGGGCTACCGCATAGGGATGATGTAAACGGATGAAGAAGGGCAGGAAGGGAGAGGGCTGAGAGAGTAACAGCTACCAAATGGTCAGCGCTAGGGCTGGCCGGTCCTGTTGGTGGGTGGCCTTTCTGGCTCTGGCTCTCAGTTCTTCTGTCTCAGCGCCTACTGTCTCATAGGCTTCTTGCTTAAACCACAGGGGACACAAAACTTTTATTTATTATTTTTAAGAATTACTAATATCAATTGGATAGGTAACTATTTTCTATAGAGCTTGGTCCCTGGCTCCTGATCAAGAAGAGAAGCCTAGACATGGTTTGTTTTTTTCTTTTCCTTATTTAGTTTTTATTACTTCTTAATATTTTTATGCTAATATATTATATATTTAATATCTATTATATTCATATATTATATATAATCCCATTCTTTCTCCCTTCCCTTTCCTCCCTCCAAATCCTTCCATATACCCCCCCTTGCCCTCTTTCAATTCATGGCCTCTTTTTTACTAATTATTGTAACGTAGAACTGTTAGGTACAAAGTGGGCCTCCAGGCCCCTCAAACAACAGCAACATTGACAATGCTGCAAATGACAGCCTGGGCTCAGCTCAACTCCGGCTGGGTAAACAGAAGGATTGCTAGTGGATAAACAAAAGTCTAAAATCAACATTGCTCAGAAACTTGGGAAGTGGGTCTCTGTTTGTCAGAAAGAGCCATACTCCCCTGATCTGATGCTACAGCCTAGAGCTGGCTACCCTCTCTATTAACACACACCTACAGCACACATCAAAGTCCCCACGCCAGCTCCCAGGCTCTTTGGGCTCACAGTCCTCTACCTCCAACTACGCCAACTTCCAGTTCTTTCTTTCTGGCGTTCCTCCTGCTGCAGACAGACGCCTTCACAACAGGCAAGGCTTTCCCCAGGGTCTGCTATTTTCTCTGTCCCTGAGAAAGCCACCACAGTTTAAAATTCCCCCAATAAACCTGCCTTTCCACCCGTGGAGTGACCCAGTTTGATGGCTTCGCTGTCCCCTTGCTAACAGTTTCTCGTATGTATGTTTTAGTGCTGACCATCTGGTATTGGATCACCATTTCGTGTGCTCTTCCTCAGGAAAGACGATTTCTCCTACTCTCAGCATCCCTTGGTTGCCTAGAGTTCTTTGTGTGGGGTTGAGGCCTCGTGGGCTTTCTCTAGATCATTGGCGCGTCTATTAATGTCCTTGGTCTTGTTGGTGAAACTATAAGGGTGTAGGTTCTGACACTCCTACGAGAAACAATCTCACCGCAAACTCCCTGTTCCTCAGGCTCTTGCCAGCTTTCTACCATTTTATTAGTGAACTACAAAAGAGAGTGGCCCAGTCATCTTCATTCATCAATAAAGATATGGATCGACCGAAACAATCACCAACACGCATACTGTACCCACATCATTTTACCTTCCAAACAACAGCCCCAGATGCCAGTCTTGAGCATCTTCCACTGGCAGACAGTCTTCTACAATGGCATGAAAGGCAGTTTTGCTGCACTGAGAGTCCTCTGTGAGAAGGGGAATCTCGTCTTCCCTGTATCAGCGGGGACGTCAGATGGAGGAAGGAAACAATATGCACAAACCCATAGTGCTGAGGTCAAGCCAGAGTTGCAGCCAGCTGTGGCTCTCAGCAAAGTCACACCCTTCAACACATGGTACTTCCTCCCTTTCTGTGGGCCACAGGATGTTGGGTTGTTCTCCCCCACAATCCATTGGGCAAGGTAGGGTGATATTTAAGTCCTCAAAAACCAATCTGATTTCTGAAGCATGATACTGATAAGACAAACACACACAAATATTACATACACACACACATACACACACACACACACACATATGTATCGGGGGAGGGCAAAGATGGGAAGACTGCTAAATGTTCTTGATATAGCCATGTACCCCGAAAGAAAAGCCTCTCCTGAGGGATAGAAGCATACCTGGATAGGGTCCTGCGTCAGTCTCATGGGCCCGATGCGTACCTCCGCAGAAGACACCTGCTAAAGAAATGACAACACATGAGACGTGTCAAGTCTTCAGAACAGGGACTGCTAAATCATTCCTTACACAGTAGACTAGATTGTGCACTTCATAAATGATGGAAGCGCCTAACTCACTGACCTGGAGACAATTTAGGAAGCATCCTATACCAGCCTTTATCACCCGTTTATGAGACTCTATACCCTGCATGCACTGGGAATATCTATGAGGCTACGCCTTCCATGGTAAATGGCAGGACTTTGGGGTAGTTTTATTGGAGAACACAATTGGATGATTATTTACTGAGCACCACTGTATACTAGCAGCGCCATTATTATAGCTGTACCATATAATCATACCTACTGATGCCCGGAACTTCTGAGAGTGGAACATGCTAGAGCCTTCTTTCTCTTTAGGTTTTAGCATGAGGAATAAACAGCTAATTCTGACTCATGGACACTGCCTCCCTCTCAGTGGTCTTTCCTCAAGAAGACACAGGGGTGCCACACCAGGACCACAGGAGGCTAACCGTTGCTCAGGCTCCGTGAGCAAGACTGGAGCTCCCAGTTGTTCAGGAGCCCATACTACCTAGTTGCCCTTGGGTGCCACAGAGAGCGAATATGTATTCGCCTTTGCTTTTAATCACCTTACATGGGTTTCTAAAGATGCCTTTTCTCCAGGTGAATTTGACTCGAGGTTGTAACCTCATCTCCACGGGTCCAATTTTGTTTTTCTCTAGGTGGCTTCAGTGACCTGCTACTTTGAAGGCTATTTCATTTGAAACACTTTGTGCTGGCTGCTGTCTGTCTGAGGAAGCATCATTAGCCAGCACCATGGGACCAAGGATGTGTTGATGACCCCGAGCCAGGCTTGATCCATTAAAAATTAACAAGAAAAGTACAACTTTCTGGACTGAGGGTGTGGTCAGTTGGTAGACTGACCTTGAGGCCTTGGGGTCCATTACGAGTCAAATGGGTACAGCAATTTAGGGTTGTCCTAAGCTACCTCAGCTTAAAACCAGCCTGAAGTACATGGGATCTTGCTTCAAACCCCAAAACTAAACAACAACAACAACAACAAAAACTACAAGGTAGCACTGTAAATTATACTTCAGAAGATCCAAAATATTTCCCTCTCCCCCTTTCTTCCTCTTTCCCATACTTGACTCTGGGCACTCAAGCTGCAGTCTCCCTCCAATGCGTCCCTATTCTTTTCTCTGTACGGTGGATTTTCCACTTCACTTCAGACCTTGCTGTTAGGAAACAAGGCCAGCATAAATCCAAGACCCAAGAGGATGCCGAAAGGTAAACTCCCCGTAAGTCTAAGGAGTTCGCTTCACTGAACTAAAATACAGGTAGAAGGAGAGAACCCCACAAAGTTGTCCTCTGACCTCCACGTGTGTGCTATGGCTGGCACCATGAGTCCATACACGTACACACACACACACCAAACAGAAATGTATGTAAGAAAAATAAAGTATCAAAGGAATAAAATAAAATGGGCTTGCTTTGGGATCTAAGAATCTGAGGGTAGGATGCCTACAGGAAGGACTCAAACTGCCGCCAACAAAAAGAGAATTTGTCCCTATTTGATGCATTGCCTATAAACTTTGGCAAGTCCCCATCAGGCACATGCGTATGACCTTGCTAACCTACCACAGTGGTGGGAGGCAGCTTGTTTAAAATCCACCAGGAAGCGGAGCAGTAGTGTACACAACTTTAATCCAGGACTTGGGAGGCAGAGGTAGAAGGATCCCTGTAAGTTCGAAGCCAACCTGGTCTACAGAGTGCGTTCTGGGACAGCCAAGGCTACACAGAGAAACCCTGACTTGAAAAAAAAAAAAACAAACACCAAAAACAGAACAAAACAAAACAATCCAACAGGAGACAATATAATGACTGTGAACATACCACACCTCTCTGTCCCAGGCACTGTGCTAAACTGTGGCCTTAACTGGAGACCAAGCAATGGCCATTGAAGGACAGCATCATTTTAAAGGTGACAGATACTACTTCCTACCTCAAGACAGGAGAGACCACAGCTTTCTCATGCAGCCACAATGGTTCCTAGCCACACTTCGGCCTCTGCCTGGGTCAACTTGGCAGAAGCCAGACTGAATCTCAGTAAGAGGAGCGCAGAGCCCAATTCTGTCCCAGGTTTCTAAGTGTGCCTTACTTATCTCCTTCCATCTCCTTGTCCACGTGTCCCCACCCAGGACTGTCACTCCAGCTTGGATGCCTCAGTTTACCAACTCCTCTAGTCCTGATCCACACTTTACTTCATGTCACTTGTCCCATCCTTTCCTTCTTAGTCTATGCTCTGGGTGAAATAACCACAGAGGTCAACTGTCTCAACAGAGCCTGGCTCTTCGGGATGGCACAGGCAGGGGCCAGAGAAGAACAACTACAATACTTTGCAAGGCTCAGTTTCACAATCCACCAATTCTTCATATAAATTCACAGATGACTGTGTGGCCAAGCCAAGATTTGTAATATATGTAAATTATACATAGATATATATGCTTATATATATATACATATATATATATATATATAAATGAATGTTTCCTGTCCGAACCACCTAGTCCCAAGTCCCAAATAACCAACTTATGGTCTTAATATGAATTATAAATGCTTGGCTAATAGCTCAGGCTTGTTACTAACTAACTCTTACACTTAAATTACCCATCCATAATTCTTGTCTATATTTAGCCATGTGACTTGGCACTTTTCTCAGTAACGCATTCTCATCTTGCTTCTCTGCATTTGCCAGCAACTCTGACTATGCTCTTTTTCTTCCAGAATTCTAGTCTGGCTCTCGGTCTCAATCTTGTCCTGCCCAGCTATTGGCCAATCGGCCTTGTATTAGCAAATGAAAGTAATACATTTTCATAGTGTAGAAAAGGATTGTCCCATAGCAAAGACTCTACTGCAGAGGGTGGAACGTGAGCAATTGCAGATGTATAGGTGTGCAAGTTGGCCCTGCCTGCAGAAAGGGAGCACCTCTGCCAGGAACAGAGATGCCAAACCAGGGAAAAGGCCATAGGCTATAAAATCCTATTGCTCAGAAAAAGGGAAGGATGGAGACAGAGGGTGAGGAGATAAAATTCTAGGTCAAGTTAACCACATGGCTTCCCCAAGCACCTACTGAGTGCAGTGTATGCTTAGTCACACTGTACAACATTTGCCAAGTCATACGTTTGTATGTATGCATGTGTACACACATATGCATGTATACATAAACACACACACACACACACACACACTACTCCTATATATATATTTTTGTCAGCAGGGCCTTCCACTCCCCTTCAGATGAGGTAATTCTCTATGATAAATAATAAAGAGCCCTACTTTTAGTATTTGCTGATTCTACCGATGGCCGTTCTGAACCTGACCATGGAACTTGGTTAAGCTGGTTATGCTGGCATAAAAAGAGAGGTCCCTCGGCTCTGCACCTGGGAACACACCTGTTCATCTCATGAGAGTTGGTGAGTGGCAAACTCCTTTAGTCATTATTGATCTGCAGATAACCATTGCTTATTTTTATTTGCTAATTTAACTGCATATAGAATTCTGCCCGAGAGATATTCTCCCTTACACTTTGAAACTGGGACAGAAGAGCTCATTCTGGTCTGGGGGAGACTGAAGAAGCATCCATGAAGTCAGGCAAGCCTTGAAGAATAGGAAGATGAAAGAGCAGGTTGGGGAGGAGTATAGGCATAGAACAGCCTACGCACAGGCAGGAAGGCAGAGGCATGCCTGGAGGAGGGACACAGTGTTCAGAGTGGCTGTGTTCAGTGTATGAAGGGGAAAGCTGAGGGTGGGGGGGACTCCAGGGAGGAGCCTTTTCATTCTGGAGGCAACCGTCAACATAATGTAGGATTCTGAGTTACCATGATGGCGTTTGTGACCAGAAAAACCAAATATTTGGC